CTTAGCAAGATGCCTGGTATGAAGCAGTTGCTCAAAAATAGCAGTTCTGGGCTTCCCTGGTGGCGCAGTTGTTGGGAGTCCGCCTGCCGATGCAGGGGACACGGGTTCGTGCCTCGGTCCGGGAAGATCCCACATGCCGTGGAGCGGCTGGGCCCGTGAGCCATGGCCGCTGAGCCTGCGCGTCCGGAGCCTGTGCTGCGCAACGGGAGAGGCCACAATAGTGAGAGGCCCGTGTACCGCCAAAAAAATAAAAAATAAAAAATAAATAAAATAGCAGTTCTCATTTTGATTTTCCCAGCCCACATCCCCACTTCTTGATCTGAGAACCTCTTTGCCCTTAGCAGCTGGCTGTGTCCTTGCCAAGGCCCTACTCCTCCTTCAGGAGATATAGACTGTGCTTATGACCTCATTTGTTCCTTTATACAACATCTGGGCTTCGTGTCTTGTTTGTTCAGGCCTTCGGAACCATAGAACACTTACAAGGCTATTAGCCTTCATTTGCTTAGGTTGGCATACCTAGTTGGTGATAAAACTAAAAGGCTAACAGTTTACATGAAACTAATTCCTGGGTTAAATAGAAAGCAGAACATGCCCATTAAGTTGCAACACCTAAAAACATGGTTATGAATCTTATAAAATGAGCACTGCTTTTTTAAAAACTGATGAAACATTTATGTAGCATCCAGAACAGCTCATAAAAAATGTACTCTCACCGTGTCTGTGATTTCTTTGGATAAGCCAGCTTTTAAAAGATACGATGCCATTATACCAGGAAGAACAAAGGATCCCAGGACACTTTAGGGATCTTACATCACAACTTACTGATAATAGTTTTACTGAATTTTCTAAATTACACATAGTTTGATTATTTATTGTTTTAACAATTTCTAAAAGCCCCAAATAACAACAAACGCATAAAAAGAAAATGGCTTCTCTGTCCATACAAAATGAAACTTTAAATATTACTGTTTATGAGATTGTTAATAAAAAAATTTTCAGCTGCTCATTTAATTCTTAATGATAGGGCATTTTAAAAATCACTAAAATGAATGCTAAGAAAATTTTATCCATAAAATTATGCAAAATTATCTAGATAAATGGTATTTCAATATTGGTTCTACAGATAATTGTAGAGTAGAAATTAACTGGTTTTAAAGAGGGGAGGAAAAGGAGTTTTAGGTGAAGAAAACAGTATGTGTAAAGGCCTAGAGAGAGAGAGAGAGAACATGAACCTTTCAAAAAAACTTTGAGGTATTTGGTATAGGTGGACCATTTAAAGTTTGAGGGTATCTAAGACCTTTGCAAATAGAGGCCAGCTCACGAAGGTCTTACAGGCCACATTAAGGGAATTTTGCTTTTTCTTGAGGAAAATAGGAAACAATTGAAGAGTCTTCAAAGTGGGTAATAATCACATGTTTTAGAAAGATCATTCTGGCAGCAGTGTGGAGAATGGATTGAAGAAAGATATAGCGCCAAGTGAGAGGCCATTGCAGTAATCTAAATGAAAGTTGTGATCATGGCAGAGGTGATAGAGAGCAGTGGGTAGAATACAGGGAAATTTATCAATAGAAGGTAGAACTGATGAGACTTGGTGATTTAATGCATGTGTGTGTACAGGAGGATTCAGTCAGTGAAGAGTGAGGGAGCATGAGGAGCTGTGAATGACCCACAAGAATAGCTGAGTGAATGGTGGTGCCATTGATGAAAACACCCTCCAGAAGCAGTTAGTATGAGTATTAGCCAAGGATGAGCAGTACTAACTCTGTGTTAAAAAAATAATAAAAATAGGGCTTCCCTGGTGGCGCAGTGGTTGAGAGTCCGCCTGCCGATGCAGGGGACACGGGTTCGTGCCCCGGTCCGGGAACACCCCACATGCCGCAGAGTGGCTGGGCCCGTGAGCCATGGCCGCTGAGCCTGCACGTCCGGAGCCTGTGCTCCGCAACAGGAGAGGCCACAACAGTGAGAGGCCCGCGTACCGCAAAAAAAAAAAAAAAAAAGACATTCCTAGTAGCGAGTAGTGACCCAAAATTACATTTTCTAATCTATTGCATATGACATTGTTAATTTATTGAGTATATAATAAGCATCATATATTGTGTTTTACTTGTGTTAACTCATTCCATCTTCATGACAACATAAAATGCAGATTATTGTCTCCTCACAGAGGAGGAAACTAAACTTCAGAGAAGATATCCAGGTAGTAACCTGAGTTACATACTAAATGAGGAGAAAAAGTTGTGTTAACCTCCGAACGTAAAGGATCAGGGCTCCAGTTAGAGGTATAAGCAGCAAACTGTTGTTGGTCAAGAGATAGAAAGATTAATTTTCGTTTTAATTATCCTTTCTGGTTGGACCTTGAAGTGTGTAGAAAGAGTGATATTTGGGCACCTGAGTGGAGAGCCTTAAATTCCAGCCTGTTTGGATTTTATTCTCCAGGTAATGCCGAGCCACTGAAAGTTTCTGAGGGGGGAGTAACAGAATTAGCCATTTATAGCAAGACTTAGAATTTCAAGTTCAAAAGAGTTTTTTTCTTTTTCTTTCTTTCTTTCTTTCTTTCTTAAAGAGTTCTCAAGTAATTGAATCCAACTCTCTCAATTCGCAAATGGGGAAAACAAAGCCCCTAAATTTGAAGCTCTGCAGCTGGGGCTTTCATTGTTGGCAATAGGTTTTTCATCTGGGTGATTAGCTTGCCTCCATTTGGTCACAGGCTGAGCTCAGATCTTGCGCAGATCTCTCGCCTGCGTCCCAAATTAACAAGAGTCCTGATGAGGCCTAAGAGCTGGCTGAAGAAGGGACTATTTTGAGCCTTGGGAGATCAAGTAAGGGTGATGGCAGAGTTCAGAGATAACAGTGTATCTAACATCTAGGGTAGGGTCATTCCTTGGCTGAATGCTTCTCTCTTGGGTTTTGCAGAAGCCTAACCTAGCCCATAGCCACTGATGACAGCTTTACTGCAGTGCTATGTTAAAGCTGGCATTATCAAGGTGGGCAATATAAGTCTCCAAAGAAGGGACGAAGTTGGGAATAAATGGCTGAATAATTGCTGATGTTGTGAGTGTCTTAGACTTGGTCATGCAGATGTCCCTCTGGAGTTGATAAATGACACAGATTCACCTGCAGTTTTGACCCACCAAAAGATAAGGTAGCTCTGTCTGATGTCAAAAACCATTCCTGCGCCTTTGGTGTCTTTCTTAGCAAATGGGCACCCTACCTCCCAGCTGTGCAAGGCAGAAACCTAAATACCACTTTTGGCTGCTCTCTCCATTGCCTCTGATGCCCAATCAGTACCAAGCCCTTCTATTTTTTGAATACCCATTTGTCCCATCCTCTCTACCATGACCTTAGTTTAGGCCACCATCATATCTCACCTAAATTATTGCAAAAGCCTTTCTCTGTTTTCCCTGCCTCAAACCTTGTACCCCTTAATCCATTATCTGCAGCCAGAGAGATAAAGAAAGCATCAATTCTTTGAAATAATATGTCTGTTTTTCAGAGTCAGAGATGTGTCCAATGACAGCATAGATTATTTTGTTCTGTTTTCTAGCTTCCCTACAGAAGAACAGTGATGTCACAAATATTAGGGGTGAAGTGACATTGATCCACAGGCTCAAGTGATTTTTTTCAACCAGATATCACAAAGATTCAACAAAACCAACTAAAAAATTATTTGTCCAATTTGCTGAAAAGTGACACAATAATTCTTTAAGATCTCAAACTCTAGAATTTTCAGTTTAGGTAAAAGCTTTGCAAGAGCTAGTGCTTTCAGAGGGTTTACTGTAAGAGAAATTTCATTATTTAGCTATTTGAGATTGTGAATTCAGTTTTCTATTATAAAAACGTGTGTTGATAAAGGCATACCTAAGTCATAGTGTGAAGGATAACAAGGAAGATTCTAGTCAAAGAAATTCTCCTGAATTCTAAAGGAAAGTTATCTTTCTACTTTGTCCGGATGGTAAGGGAAAAAGGCAATCAATAATTATTGACTGTTTATTTTGCCAAGCAAGATGCACATTATCTCATTAGCTCTAGGAAATAGTTACTATCAGCACAATTTTACAGTGAAGGATGCTTGGGAATGTTAAATATCTTGATAAAGATTCTAGAACTGATAAGTGGGAAACCAGGATTCAAGCCTAAAACATGAGAACCTGCATTCTTTTTCTAAACAATTTAATTTTATTTATTTATTTTTTATACAGCAGCTTCTTATTAGTTATCTATTTTATGCATATAGGCGTATATATGTCAATCCCAATCTCCCAAAGAGAACCTGCATTCTTGTAATGATTTGTTTGCTCAATTTATAACTTTTTTTTTTGTTGCTGTACACGGGCCCCTCACTGTTGTGGCCTCTCCCGTTGCGGAGCACAGGCTCCGGACGCGCAGGCTCGGCGGCCATGGCTCACGGGCCCAGCCGCTCCGCGGCATATGGGATCTTCCCGGACCGGGGCACGAACCCGTGTCCCCTGCATCGGCAGGCGGACTCCCAACCACTGCGCCACCAGGGAAGCCCGAGAACCTGCATTCTTAAGTGTGCATTCTCAATGCTTTGAAATAGATGGTGCTTTCAATACTTACAAATCCCTTATGAGATAGGTTTTCCCATTACATAGATATGACTATTGAAGCTTAAAATGTTTAAAACTTGTCCTGTGTCACTCAGTAAGGGGTAGGGCTGACACTGAATCTCGTACTTGTCTACTTTCAAAGTCCATGTGTTTTCCACAATGTCTTCCAAGACAGCGTCCTGTTAATTGTCTCACATATGTGGCTAATAGTAAGTGATGATGTCCAGAAGTGACTGAATAACTAACAATAATTGTAAAAGCTCATTTTTAAAACTTCATGGTGTCACCTATGTGCTTAGCAAATATTGTTAAAATGACGTATTGACCAATAAAATGTCAGGAAATTTCGTATAAATTGGCCAAGAGTGTGAGGGCAACTTCAAAACTTGATTTGACAATATTCACTATATCAGACTCTCATTAAATTCCCAGCAAAATGAGGGGTTTCATTCATGCGGGCTCGAGTACATACGAACTGTCATTTACATCTGTGCCAGCTCCCGGTGGAGAAAGCACCTGGAGTCGATCCCGCAAGGTCAGCAAGGTAACATGAACGCATATGACTCCCTCATTTATTATTATTTTTTTAAGACTTGTTTTAATAACTGTTTCTCTAGTTGCTGCTAAGCCACTTCTATATCAATCTGGGGGATTAATTATCGAAATAAACACTTTGGCTTAGGAAGGAGGTGAGCTTGCTACCTTTCAAAAAATAAGGACCTTGTTTTCTTTAGTCCCCAGCTTGAAATGATTTGATTGCACAATTACTTCAATGAGCTCAGCATCTATGGCAGGTGCTGGGGGGGGGTGGGTAGAGAGAAGCATGTGATTTCAAGGGTCATGTTGGAGCAGCAAGATTTTTACATGCAGATAGTTATAGAATATAATAAGTTGGCATTCAAGCAGGTGCTAAATAAGAATGGAAGGAAGGAGTCTAACTTTTATTGAGCACTTATTACATGCCAGGCAGTTTCATGGGCAACATTTCATTCAGTCTTCCGATAAGGATCCTTTGAAGTAAGTAATATTACCACCATTTACCATTTTACTGAGGACAAATTTGTTCACCCAGCTAGTAAGCAGGGTGGTTGGGAAGCAAACCAGGTCTTTCTGGCTTCAGAGCTGAGGTCTCCTGCTTATTCTATACTGCGTCTCAGGCGGGGAAAAGATGGTGGTAGTGTGTTGTAATAAATGACACTACCGGGAGGTGGTGGTTTGACAGAGGCCCTAAGGGTGTGTAGGGTTTCGGAGTTATGGGGAGTGGGATGGGAATTCTAGCAGTAGGAACTGTCTGATCAGAATTTTAAAGGTGGGAGTGAACCTAATGTGTTTCAGAAACAGAGAGGGTGGTGACCTCACTACATTTCTTCATTTTCCAATTCAAATAACTTAGAAGTTGGCATTTTTCTCCTGCTAATCCTATATTAAGGTGTGGCGTATAATTTATTTAAGATTCTATTTTAATAATTGTGTTTGTTATGTTTTATAATAAAAGTAAAAAAGAAAAACATGTTTACATAATAAATGTTGCAACCACACATATGATATGAAAACTTTACAGGTTTCAATTTGGTTTAAGATGACTGGTAAACAAAAAGATTTTGGAAAATGACCCAGAGTTTTTGTATTTTGGTGGACTAATGTCTTGAAAAATTATGAACTTACCACTCTTACTTTAATAATGAGAGGTTCATAGTTACTAGATGTTAATAAACAATAAGCATTTTTAATCTCAAGGGAGTACACGTAATTTACCAGATTGACCATAATTTATCAATCTCTGGCAAATCAGAATACAATAGAAAAAATACATTTTGAATATCTTTAAAATATGTGGGGCAATGGAGTATATGTCTGTATAAGGCTATCTCTTTCGACACCACTGACTTCATAATACTGTTTATTTAACCTTTCACAGGTTTTCAGATTTTCCCATACATTATTTATTTGATGCATTACTGGTTTACCAATCAGCATTCATTCATCTAAATTTTTTCTGGTGCTTGCCAGTGTGCTAAGGTGCTGATAAGTAAGTTTGAACGAAGTTAAAGTGAGACAGGCTTATACATGGACGTCGGGAACAACACCGATAAAAACATTTGGGCCCACTTTTAATTTTCAGACATAGAGGTTTAAATCTCCATTTCCTTCCTTACTGATTAGTTTTGCAGGGCATACACAGGATTATTTTTGGTTTGATTGTTTTCGTTGATAGCATGTAACTAATACTTTTGGAAGCCGCTGATCACTGTGCAGAGGTAGCCAGGGCAACAGAAGTCAAGCCCTGACTTGGCTGCTAACTGGCCAAGTGACACTGGTTCTGTCACTCCTCCTCTCTGCACCCACCGTTTCCTCTTCTGTAAATGAGGAGGGTGGATATGACTGAGTTCTTCCTAAAATATCTAATCTCTCTGAAACCCCAGACCAACGTTTAAAAAAAAAGTCAACTGCAAGATTCAATTTCCTTCCAGAAATCCAATGCATTTCCCCCAGAGTAGAACTTGGTTGCTGCCTTTGTCAGAGCTCTCTAAGGAAGTATTGTTTTTTCCCTTCCATATAGCTGAGAGAGGAAACCGCTTCCAGCTGCCTAACGAACAGGAGATTTCCGAGGAAAGGCCAGTGCCAAACCTTCCGAAGACGGATTCCTCGGGGGAGGAAAGTCTTCAGGGTGAACAGCTGCCCACGGAAGGTGGGAGGTCAAAGAAGTATTCGGTGATGTCAAGACAAAAGTTGTGCTGCACCGAAGGCTGTTCCATGTCTGACTTGAGCACTCTTTGTTAGGACAAGCAAATCCCCAAGGGTGGCAGAGTTTTAGCACACGTTTAATCACAGTGTTTTACTTCCCAGAACAATACTCACATTGTGTCATTAAACTAATGGCTTTTAGGTAGGCAATCCTTCTTTCCTAAATGTTGTAGCTGGTTGGCTAAAACCACAACGAGGTCTAGTTTCTCCCATTGCCAAGGTGAATGCACTGTTCTTTCCAAATTTAAACTAATCCTTTGAAATTTTAAATGCTGTGCAAAATTGCAATAAAAATTCCATAAAGCAAGCTTACTGTGATTTTTCTGTTTTTAAAACAATTTTAAAGAACTTTAAAACAGTAAACCAAAAATGTTGATGGTTAAAAAAAAACCTTAAAAAATAAAAAACTACTATTACCTCATCATCTAGAAATAATCCACTCTTAACTTTTGTGTTGCTGTATATTATTACTGAAAATTTAAACATCGATTCATAGTCAAGTGTAAGAATCTAAACAAAGTGGTTTTCTCAAGAGTTCTTAAGAGCGCTCAATTAATGTTTCCTAATATCATGCATCTCTTCAACATTATACTTGAGAATAGTTGGGTGCATATATGTATCAAAGAGGGCCCATAAACAGCCCAAATCCAGAAAATGTTTGGGTATCTTAACTCCTTTCATAGTCTGGGCTGCCTTGGTTTTGCCTTCCTACTGCTGAGATAAAAGGACATTCTATTCTCATCCTGGATGTTGAGAAACTAAAATGCAGATAGCCAAGTCATTGTGCCACAATTGGATGTCTTCACAGATGAAAAGATAAAGTAAGATATCACAAAATTATGCTCTTATTTCTAACTCTGTCATCCAACTCCCCAGTAGGTTTTAACATAGTTAGACCCTGTTCATCTGAGGTGCTGCCTATTAATACTCCAGCCTGTATTTGAAATTCGTGGTCTACACATTGTGCATGTAAATTGTGTCAAAGCATTGTTCTTTGCAGATAAAAAACTGAGTCTCCCTAGAATTAAGTAAACGTTTACTAAGTCACACAGCTGAGGAGGTGGTGTCACTGATCCAAACAGGCTACTTAGCATGAATCAAGGCAGTCACATCAAACTGCACTGGTTGTCAATTACTCTTTACCACGAGACACTCCCTGTTTGTTTAAATCAGTTTCACTGAAGAATGTCTTTTGAAGAAGCAGTAGAAATTAATGATAGTAAATCTCAACCCTTGAGTACATGCCCTTTCAATATTCTGAGGGGTGAAATGGGAAGACTGCATGAAGTATGTTTGCTGCAGACTGGAGTATGATGGTTTCCTCAAGGAAAAGCACTTCTGTGATTGAGTTTGAACTTAAAAGTAGCTGCTTTTTCCAAGAAGCACCATTTTTTAAGGAAAAATAAAGACTGAAAAACTGTGTTTATTCAGATTTGGGTATTGGCAATGAAATGAAATAAGATTTGAAAATGAACAAAGTAGGCTTCAAGGAAAACGACTGACAGTATTTGTTGCTGATGATAAAGTTCAAGCTTACAAGCAATTTTGGAAAACTTTTACCCACCACCCTGAGCATCAGTGGTGATATTTGATTTTTTGATATTATATGACATGTGTCAACATTTGGGAAATCTGCCATAACTCAATGAACCAATATTTTCCAAATGATCAATGCATGACACTACAAAATCATGAATGGTTAAGAAATCTGCTCAAAGTGCAAAATAAAGATTTCAATCTAACTACAAAAAATTCATTGGTATCATTTCAGATTTTACATTGCAAGTAACCTTTAATAAACAGTCACTTGTTGAGTTTTGGTATAATATCAAAAGAGAATATATTGATAAAAATGATCTGAAAATGCTATTAAAATACTCTCCCCTTTTGCAACTAAATGTTTATGTGTGGCTGAATTTTCTTCATGTACATTAGCCGACATAACACACAGCAGCAGATTAAAAATATAGGAGCTGATAGAAGATGTATTTTATAAGTACAGTCATTAGAGACTTGCAAAAATATAAAACAGTGCCACTTTTCTCACTAAATGTTTTCTGTTTTGTGAAAATACAGGTTTTTAAATAAAATATGTTATTGGTGTTAATGTGTGATGAGTTTATTTTTATTTTCAAATGAGTTAAACATTTAAATTTCTCAGTAAAATTCTAATATGATAAATATTGATAAATTGAACCCACATAAATGAAAGTTCTTTGACATTCTTAATACTTTTTAAGAGTGTAAAAGGATTATGAAACCAAAAAGTGTGAGAATTGCTCTTATATAAGGTTTTGCCACAAATTTTTGAGTTTCCATCAAGAGATGTTTAGGTTGCCGTATTTGTCATGACAAAGATGCAATAAACAGCCTTGTTTATATATCCTTATGTACTGACACTTTCATTTCAATAGGATAGCTTGCCAAGTTGCTAGGGGGAAAAATATGTGTATTTTTTTCAGTGTACTTTTAATAGTTATTTTTATTTGTTACATATTTATTAGTTATTATAAATGTATCTATTCAATTTAAGTACATAGAGAAACAAAGAAGAAAGATGGGACCTCGTCTTTTTTTTTTTTTTTTTTTTTTTTGCGATACGCTGGCCTCTCACTGCTGTGGCCTCTCCCATTGCGGAGCACAGGCTCCGTACGCGCAGGCTCAGTGCCCATGGCTCATGGTCCCAGCCGCTCCGCGGCATGTGGGATCTTCCCGGACCGGGGCACGAACCCGTGTCCCCTGAATCGGCAGGCGGACTCTCAACCACTGTGCCACCAGGGAAGCCCGGGACCTAGTCTTTTTACTTAAATCCTGTAGTTCCTTTTTTGGGGAAAAAAAGATAATATATGTATATGGTTAGGAAACGTAAACAGTCCAGGGAAGTATAAAATACAACAAAAGTCTCACTCTCTTCCATTTGATTCTGAAGTAATATAACCCTTATCCAGAGTTTCTTGTAATTTCTGCCAGAAACAAAAAATTATGTCTATACTGAATATATGTGGTATAGTTACAGATTTAGTAACTATAGTATATATAGATAGCTTGCCCTATATCATTATCTATCTATCTACCTACCTATCTTATCTATCTACCTATCATTGTCTATCTATATCTATATCTATCTATATCTATAACAGAGACTTTTAGCTGTCCACTAAAACTTCTCTTCCTCTTGGGCACAGACTACATTTCTCAGTCTCTTTTGCAGTTTCATGTGGTCATATGACTGAGTTCTAGCTAATTAAATGTGACTAGTCCATCAAATCTCCCTCCCTCTGCCTCAATTTAGCAGGCAATAACCTTTGACGTTTTTATGTTTGATTCTATTTTTTACAGTTGTTAACCCACTCTAATACAATATGTACTGAATCTATCATCCCATTTTACACAAAAAGAAATTACACATACTCATTGCTTTAATACATCTTGGAAATATTTCAATAACATCCAAGTATAGGTATTATAATTTTAAACACATACCAAGAAAATACCATTTAAAAAGTTTGTATTAATTCATATTTTCACTAGACATTTATGAGTGACTCTTTCTCTACATTCTCCCCAGTCCATGATGTTATTACACTTGCAAAAATTTGCAATTTTTATAGATGAAACATTGAATATAATTTTGTTGTATCACAACTATAATTGCCTTTAGTATTTATTGGACATTTTAATTTCCTCTTCTGTAAATTAGTCTGTTCATATTCTTTGCCCATTTTTTGATTTCTATTTATTTATAATAGTTTTCTTATCAATTTTCAAGACTTTTTAATATTAAGGATATTAAATTTCTGACTGCCTTTTTAGTAAAATATTTCCCCCCAAATCTTTGGTATGCCTTGATTTCATTTAGGATGTCTTTTGCATACAATGTCATTGCATACAATATCTGTCTTTCCTTTACAGTTTCTGGATTTCCTTTTTTGCTTAGGCAGACCTCCCTTATTGTGAGTAAGATTGTGAAAAAGTCTGCTAAATTATATTCTAATAATTTAATTTTGTAAACTTTGCATTTAAATTTAATCTATCTTATATTTATTTTTGTATAGTATGAGGTGTTTAATTTTTATTTTCTTCCAAATGAACAGAACATTTTGCCTGCATCATGGAGCAGCCTTTTCCCATGGAAATTTCATGCCATTTTAGTCATATGTTGTTTCAAATGTTTGGAGCTATTGTAGGCCCTTTATTCTGCTCTTTGCTCTATTTATCCTCAGTTAGCACCATACTATTTCGATTGCAGTAACTTTATGGTAAATTTTAGTATCTCTTAAGAAAAGTTGTCCATCACTATAGATTGTTTAACATTTTTTCATGGATATTATGAGACATACATCCTTCTATGTGGATTTTATAATCCAGTTTCCAAAAAAATTTTATTGGAATTATAATTTGAATTGCTTTACATTTATACTCATGTAGAAAACATTTATATTCTATGATATTAAGAATTCTTATCTAAAATATATTACTATAATAATACAATATTTTATTTCTTTTAATAACTTTTTATAATTTTAACTATATAGGTCTGTGTCTTTTTATACTACCTTCTAATTTTGTTACTTTTTTTTTTCATTTTTTTCTTAAACATCTTTATTGGAGTACAATTGCTTTACAATGGTGTGTTAGTTTCTGCTTTATAACAAAGTGAATCAGCTATACACATACATATATCCCCATACCTCCTCCCTCTTGTGTCTCCCTCCCACTCTCCCTATCCCCCCCATCTAGGTGGTCACAAAGCATGGAGCTGATCTCCCTGTGCTATGCAGCTGCTTCCCACTAGCTATCTATTTTACATTTGGTAGTGTATATATGTCCATGCCACTCTCTCACTTCATCCAAGCTTACCCTTCCCCCTCCCCGTGTCCTCAAGTCCATTCTCTACGTCTGCATCTTTATTCCTGTCCTGCCCCTAGGTTCTTCAGAACCATTTTTTTTTTTTTTTTAGATTCCATATATATGTGTTAGCATATGGTAATTTTTTTTCTCTTTCTGACTTAACTTCACTCTGTATGACAGATTCT